TTATAAAATAAAAAGAAGAACAACAACAACAAAAAAAAAAGAGATTTTTAACTACTGTTATTTTTTGTTTTATTAATTCATATCTTCCTTCTTTACTGTTCCATCTATTTTTCAACAAAAAACTAACTGTTGTTTTCTAAACACTAAAGAATTGGAAAAAAAAAACACTTTTAACCACAGTAAAATATATATATTAAAGAAAAAAGCCCATTCTTTATCTTTTCTCTTTCTTCTTCTCCTTCTTCTACTTCTTCTCCTTCTTCTTCTTCATCATCATCATCTTTTTATACTAAAATAACAAGTAGGATTAGTCCTTCTTCTTCTTCCTCTTCTTAGTCAATTTTTTCTTTTTTTTTTTCCTTTTTTCACATCAAATAAAATGACAAAAAAAAAAAAGAAGCAAAACCAGCAGCAACAAAAAGATGTGTATCGGCAAGGAAAATAGAAGAATGTTGGGATAACTGCAAACAACGACAAACTGAGAGGTTTATGTGTTTTTTTTTTTAAAATTTTTTGCACCAACTAAAATGTATAACATCCAAATGTCTTTTTGGTTGATTATTGTCCCCCAGTTGACTTTTCTTCTTCCCCACCTCTGTTTTCATCACCTCCTTTTCTTCATCTATCCAAAACAGCAGTGTTTAGTGTCATCGATACATTGATTCTTTGCAAAAAAAAAAAAATCCAAAAACTGCTATTCTGTTAATTTTTTTACTAATTAAAGTTCATTTTTTTTTTTTCATTTTTGTTTTGGTTTCATTTCTGCTTTTTTTAGAAAGTTTAATTGACAACCAAACTTTGCTCCTCCTTTTTGTTTTTGTTTTTTTTTTCTGGTAAAAAGAACGATAATAGAAGGCAAAATTAGGCTAACAGTTAAAATCATAACTATAAAATATTTGTAAAATATCTTCACTCATTCACTCATTTATAGACATTCAAATTCACACACACACACACACAGAAAACATTCAAAGAGATATATTATAACAACGAACATACAGTTGGACAATAATAAATTTATTAGATTTTTTTACAATATACCGTTTGGTTGACCTGTAAAACAATAAAAAAAAAACTGTTTCTATGTATCAGCAAAAAAAAAAAGAAATAAACCGCAAAATAATTTTGCGTAAAATTTTTCGAAGCAGTCGAAAGAAAAAAAAACCGTAAGAAAATTATAACTAAAATTCTCATAATAAAATAACAA